AACTAAACACACATCTGATTCCTGTAAATAACAGAAATGTTAGTTTAAAAAATCTATACCAATATTGGAAAAGAAGGGGATTCCTTAGTAGATTGAAACTGTAAATAATCTAAGAGATGCAAAAAGAATAGAGGGTTGAAATGGAAAACTACACCACAAGGCATGCAATAACTGAAAGCTATGGCAAGGATTGTCCATACTTAGGAGCAAAAAGGGTCTGGCTCAATCTAATGGGGTTGTTGGTACTGAAGTAGGAGCTCAACCTCTGTGATTTCCTGAACTCTCTTCACATTGGATAAAGCATTAGTTATAGGGGAATGGGACTGTGTCCGGTTGGGGACAGAGTATCTGGCATCTTTGGAGTCACAGGGTGGGCCGTAGAATGTTGGGAATGTCCAGAGGATCAAGAATCCTTCACTGTCTGAAACTAGCTACTTGTTCCTCTTGTCCCTCCCACACAAGCCCTGAAGCCATCAGAACACGCCCCTGTGGCATGTCTTTTCTCCACAGACTAATTAGGCAATCCAGCAGATACCCATGAAGACACAATGTAAGGATGGACTTATCTGGGGGAATGTCAACATCAGAAAAGAGAGACTCCCAACTTACCAAAGGAAAGGTTGTGTACTCAGGGAAACAGTGTGAACAAAGGAGTCTTTTCTCAGATATAGACAAGAGAATTTTCACCAAAAGAAAAACAATACACTAGCCACCTCTCACCCATTAGGATGGCTGCACTACTCTCAGTAAAACAGAAAATAAGAAGTGGTGGCAAACATGTGGAAAAATGGGAACTCTTGTGCATTGTTGGTAGGAATGTAAAATGGTGCACCTAATATAGATGACAGTATGGTGATGATTCCTCAAAAATTACACATAGAATTACCAAGTGATCCAGCAGTGTCACTTCTGGATATATACTCAGAAGAGCTGAAAGTAGAGATACATTCACATCCATGTCATAACAGCATTTTTTTTTGTACTGGGGATCAAAGTCAGGACCTCTCACTTTCGAGGCAGGTGGGGAACCACTGAGCTAAATCCCCAGCCCATAGCAGCAGCTTTTACAATAGCTAAAAGATGGAGTCAATGCCAAGTGTCTATCAATAGATGAATGATCAATCAATGGAATGAATGAATGGATGTAATATATCAATGCAATGGAACATTATTCAATCTTTTTCTTTTTGGTATCAGGAATTGAACTCAACATCATTCAACCTTAAAAGGAAGGACATTCTGACATGTAATACAACATGGATAAACCTTGTAGATATTATGCTAAGTAAAACGAATCATACACAAAAGATCAAACACTGTATGATTCCATTTATATGAGGTAGCTAGAGTGTCAAATTCATAAAGACAAAAACTAGAATGTTAGTTGCCAGGGGCTGGGAGCAAGGGACATGGAATTTATTATTTAATGGATACAGAATTTCAGTTTTGCAAGATTAAAAGAGTCTTGGAGATGGAAGATGGTGATGGTTGCAAAACAATCTGAATGCACTTAATGCCACTGAACTGTATACTTAAAATGGCTAAGATGGTAAATTTAGCATTATGCATATTTTATTATGCATTATGCATATTGATAAACCACAAGTTTTTAAAAATAGAAAACTATAAAGGAACCCTAAAGCTCACAGTAAAATTTAGTTCTTTAAAATAAACTCAAATAGTGGTGAATGTCAGAATAAATATTGCTAAAAATGAATCAGTAAGCTAGACAATCGAAATGAACTATTTTCTTAGAATGTAGCACAAAGGGATGTAGGAAGAGAAAGCAGAAACACTGCAAAAATAGAAAATTTCTGGAAATAAAACCATTTCCTGTGTTGAAATTCTAACCTGTAAGGTGATGGTGTTAGGAGGTGGGGCCCTTTGGGAGGTGTTTACATCACAAGGGTGGGACTCTCATGCAGGAGATTGGTGCCCTTATAAAAGAGGCCTAAGAGATCTGCCTTGCCTCTTTTTCCTTGTGAGGAAACATTGAGAAGTCATTTTCTATGAACCCTCTCTTGACACCGAGTCTGCTGAACCTTGATCTTGGATTCTTCAGCCTCCCAAACTGTGAAAAATAAGTATTTTTTCTGTCTTAGAAGCTACCCAGTTTATGGGATTTTATTATAGCAGCACAAACAGATTAAGACATTATTTCTGGACTAAGAGATCTCTTGTTAATCTTTGATTCATAGAGTTGTGTTCTTTTTTCCTATGAGTTTACATGGGATCAACATTATAAGCATTCTAAGTTGTCTTTCATTACCTGTTTTTTATTAGTGACACATCACAGATATATTCCTATGCCATTTAATGGTCTTCAAAATATACTACTATAACAGCTAGATAGCATTTCTTTTTATTTCTTGCTTGCTTTCTGGTAATTCCCAAAGTCATTGAACCAAATGGTCATCTTGGCATCTTTAGTTGGTTTCTGTTTTTACCATTAAAAATAGCAGTAGACATTCTTTGTAGTGAATTTTTTTGTCACATCTTTGATATTTAGGATATTTGGTATGAGCCCAGAAGTGGAATGCCAAATTAGAAAAGGTTAGGTACCCTTGACAAATAACTCTCCTGAAAGGATGTGCTGATTTCCTTTCCACCATGAACTGTGGCAGGATTGCCCATTTCCCTTGGCCTTGTTGCTGTTATCACAGGGAAGCTGCTATCATCCTTCTCTTTGAAGTGGCCTGGCTGCTGGCTCAGAACTCCATCGAAGGGGTGTGGCCAGAAGTCCAGGGCCAGGATGAGCTTAGCAGTGGCATTTGTCCCTGGTTGGCTTTTTCTCCAGGTTTGGTACAGCTCCAAGGCTGGGGTACAGCATCCCTATCCATGGGCACCTTCCACTATGTGTGGAAAGCCTGGCTGCTTTAGGCAGAGAAGCTCTGCTACCACCAAGCTCATGCCTGGTGAGGCTGCTTTCCCCTCTGGGCACAGCTACTAGCAGCTTTTTGTGTTCTCTCCCTACTCTCAGCTTGCTGCAGCCATTTGTGTCCACAGAGGTCCTGGCAAACCTCCACTAACCCACTGTAGCTAAAAATACTCTGAGCAGTGGGTTACTTTCTGGCCCATGCCTTCACCCTACTTCCAGCTTTAACCACCTACAAGTGACAAGCATTCATGGAGTGCTCTCTCCACTTTCCTTGAGACCATATTATCTTTGAGAGATAAAGGAAATCAAGTTCTTAATTTTTCCCATGTGATCCTGGTTTTATTAACAGTAGATAGCTCTCTCTGGTTCTGACTTTGGGTGTCAATCTCAGCTCCTACAACCAAAGCAAGCTGTCATCTAGTTTTGCATTCTTTTGGCCATTGTCAGCACCAGCAGTCATATGGGTGTACTCAAGTTGCTTCTTTCTTCAGAAGTCTCGGGCTCTCTATTCTGAAGTCCATATCTGTCTGGTTATTCTCGTCTTGGTGCTACACTATTTAAATTATCCCAGAGCAATGACATATTTTTATGTCTAGTAGGGAGAATCTTCTGTGACATTTTTTTTTAAAACTTATTGCCAACTTTATCTTGTGGGTTTTTTCTGCAAAACACACTTTGAGAGTATAGTACCAAGTTCTACCACCATCCCAAATGCATACCTCCCCACCAAAGGGGGACTATGTGCTTCTAAGAGTCTATAATCAAAGAATTGAAGTAAACCCTATTCAGTTAGAGAAAAACTTCCCTTTTGAATAACTTTTTAAAAATGTATAGAAACATGTAGGTCAAGTGAAGTGGAGGATCAGGACTAGGTTCCCTGCATCCAGTTGTGGCCTCAGACTGGGGACTCAGTAATGAAACTAGAATATTTCTGTGCACTGCTAAGATGGTAACCAGAGAGATGTCAATTGCCTGTTCCCAGGAGAGGGAGCAGAGCCACTGGGGAGAAGGACAAGGGGCAGCTGTGCAGGTCTCACAAGGGATTCAGGTCAAAAGGGAGAGACTTATCAGAATTGATGGACATTTCTTTTATCAGATAGGCAGTCAGCTCTGCCATGTACCCATTGCTACTGGACAGATCTTTTTTGTTGCCAAAGGGAAGTAGCACAAGGAGCAGACGCAATGGGAATGGAAAAATGAGATTCAGTGTTGACTCTGTCAACTGTGTAACCTCAGGCAAGTCACTATGTCTATGAGCTGTAGTCTTCTCATCTGCATACAGCAATGATGTTTATATTAACAATAAGTACTGATTGTCAGTCTCAAAGGATTATTGGGAGGGAGCAAATGAGTTAACCTCTGCAAATTCTACAAGGCTATCAAACCTTCTTGTATCTTGTTACAGAATCCAAAGAAAAAAAGGGAACTTTAGGTTATGCTGGGAACACTAATATGTGCCATTTGAAAAGTCCTGTTGCCTTAAACACTGGCCTTGTTTAGAGCTATCACCTCCGAAGGTGAGGTTCTACCACTTGTAGGAAAAAGAGGCAGAAGGCACAGGAGTAACCTGGTACACAGAGTGATGTGAGGAAAACAGACAATGGGCCAATAGAAGCTGGGCCATTAATTAGTCATAGATGAACTCTTCTGCCTTCCTGTTCCTTCTTTTATTTTTTTTCTCCCTGTGTCTCTGGTACTGATAATGCCTGATAAAGAAGTTGAAGGGGACTATTTTTACTGAGAATTGAAATGTGTCCATTCTGTCTTATGGATAGAAGCTTTTATATAAATTATCTCAGTGTAATCTCCCAATAATCATGACGTATGTATTCATCCTTTGCACAGCTCCTTATGATGAAAGGAGGCAAGAAAATTTCTAATATAGGACTTTGGATTCTAAAGTTCCAACACAGAAGAGTAAGTTCCAAATGGAACCATTTGGATGAGAACTCATTTTCTTACCATGTTATTCCAGTGGAAGGAGGACCCTTAAATGAAGAATCAGGAACCTCTAAAATCCGTGGTGTGTTTCATGGTATACGTCTTCCAGGTAACTCAACATACCAGACACCAGCCCAGAATCAACCCACAGGTCTCCATGGCAACAGTCAGGTAAGGTGCCACCTTCTTTTATGAGCCAACTAGTGGCTGAGTGGCTGTTCAGACTGGGGTGATGGTGCCAGTAGAGTCTCCACTTAGAATGAGGCTCCTAACTGGTCCCAGGCTCTGACAGCATCACACAGAGTTGTTGCCATGGTTTTGGTGAGAAGTGTTGCTTTTCTGAGGATTGCAAAACACTTTATGTTCCAAACCCAGGCTTGCTCATTCCTGACAGAGTAGAAAATGTGCCTCCCTGGCTGAAATGTTCCTCTTGAGTCCAGCCCAAAGATGACATTTTTAGGAAAGTTTGAGAAGAATCCTGTGGCTGTTACTGAGTCATGATAGAGTGGAAATGGATCTTTTCTATTTAAAGAGTTTTGTGCTACTGTTTGAAAATGTCACATTGCTAGGGAACTGTGGAAAAGGAAAACTTTCCATTCGCTATCAACAAAAATCGTTATTGGATGCAAAACAATGGAGCCGAGAAGTTGTTACCTGTCTGGTAGAAGTAATACGAGGTCATTGGGATTTTAAGAATATTTGTCTGAATAAGCTTGGTGCTCTTGAAAGGAATTGCTGAACTGTAATCTTGCAATCTTGGAATCCATTCTTGCTGTCACTTTAGACAGGTCCCTGCCTTGCTGGATCTCAGTTTCAGTATACACTGAAGGACAGAGATTAGATTAGATCACATCAGGATTTACTCAATTTACCTGACATGAGAATGATTGGGGTCCTGATAAAAAGCACAGATCTCTGTAGTTCCCTTCCTGGAGACTATAGACTACTGGGAGTAGGGTAACATTTAAAAAATTTTGAGTAAAAGGTAGATCTTGGAATAGAAATAAGAAAATATGTTCAGTATGAAAATGATATTTCTTTTTGTTTTGATGATGTTGGAGTTGAAACTCAGGGCTTGGCTCATGCTAGGCAAAGTCTCTACTACTGAGCTACATCCCAGCCTGAAATCATATTTTAACGCTATGTATTTAGTACCTTGCTGTTTCACTTTCAATATACTGTTACTTTTTGCATGGTGTGCATATATGTATCTTATTTTTTACGTTTTTTTTTTTTTTTTTTGGTACCGGGGATCGAACTTGGGTCCTTGTGCCTGTGCAGCAGGCAGTGAAACCACTGAGCTAAATCCCCAGCAATATGTATCTTATTTTTAATATTTACTTAGCAATTCATTGTGTTCCAGCATCTATTTAACTAATCCCTTCTTATTTTAGATTCAATTTTTTCCTCTAGTAAGTAAAGATATACCATTTTGGAGTATGAGTGTCTCAATTACATTATGCCCTGATTATCCATGGATGATGCTGTTAAAGAATAGAAAAGTTTTGTTAATTTGATAAGCAATGATAATATTTCATTGGGAGAAGTTCAAATAATTCCCCGTTACCTATTTCATTGTTTCAAAAATATTTTAATATATATGCTTATTAATTCATTATATATATATATCATATATAAGTTTCTCTTATTTCATTGAAGAGAAAGTTTTGTGCTTTAATCTGTTTCTTCTTTGTAAGAGTGAGTCTTTTTTTGGTCTATGTCTTGTACTCTGAGTAACTACTTATAAGATTATAGAACACAGTGTATTAACTATTGGTACTCTCACATTATTTTGTTACAAAATTTTGTTCTATCTTTTCATAAAATAAAAAAATAGTATCTCATGATAGTACTTTCAAAAGAGTCAACTTATTTTCATAGATTTTTTGATCTTTAATATTCTTCTGGCAAATTTTCTGATTACATTCTTTGAGAAAATTTCTACTGGAAATATTTTTCATACAGATTTGGGCAAGGTATTTATATTTGAAGCATGTTAAAATGGTCATCTTCATTGTAAATTTTTTCTGGTTTTCAATTTTCTTTTGAGCTTTGTGATGATTTTTTGGCATTTAACATTTCAATACACATTTAAAAAATTCTTATATGATTTCTATATTTGGTGTAGAGTCATAGAGATCTTCTCTACCTCCAGATTATATATCACTTAACTATCTTATGTTTTTATGGTTTTGGTTTTTGCATTTGAATTTCAATGTATATGGAATTAATTTTAGTATACAGTGTTACAAAAGGCTCTAATTATTTTTCAAGTTATTTACTAATTGTTCTAACATTGTATTTTTATATCAATTGGAGTTTAAATAATATATTTATCATATAATATACCCTTTGATAACTGACATATTTGTCATATAATATGACCTTAAATCTGCTTCTACTCTTTCTTCACATTCTGACATTGTTTGTTTGTTTGGTAGCAGACTTGGTTTATACCTGACTTAAAATATACACAGGGTGAAACAGTCTAATTTAGGATAGTCTGAATCCCAACAGTTATACAACCCTAATTTAGATTTTCAAAATCAAGGCTTCAGGATTGTTTCTAAGCAATTACAAGATTTCAAGGGATTGAAAAGTACCAAGTAGCTTATAGTCATACCAGCGACAGAATTGATTAAGACAATAGTGCTATGTATTCATGCAAGTGTTAAAATACAACAGGTAGAGGACCAGGGATTTAGCTCAGAAAATACTCAAATTTATTCACATTAAATCTTCTCTACCTGTTGTTTTTTTGTTTTTTTTTTTGTACCGGGGATTGAACTCAGGACCTTTGCTTGTGAGGCAGGCAGCGGCACCACTGAGCCAACCCAAAGATTTTCAAACTCAGCTCCACAGAACCTTGACATCTGTGTTGGGTTGGATGGCCTCTTAAATCTTTTCCAATCTAACTACACTATTTTTGCAATTTAGTTCTAAGCAGCTCAACACAACTACAAGATACTGCTTAGGAACAGATGACTGATTTTATCCAGGAGCAAAAAGTAGGAGTTGATTAAGTGCCATTGTACCAATATAACCCTGTTGCCCAAACTGCCTAGGTCCTTGAGCTTTCCTTATAGGACAGTGAAGGACCCCAGAGCACTGAGCATCTTCCATTCAAAGACATAGAGTCCAACTCGCTTAATGACAGCAGCAGAGGCAATTATCCTTGACATCAGCAGATAGTGGCAAGCTTCCACTTCCTGTGCAGCACCTTTTTACAATGGACTCTTGGCTACTAATAGAATCATCCAATTCTGCCTAGCAACCCGCACCTCTTGGCAACTGTATAACTATCATTGCATCAGATCCATTGGGCTCTACACTTTTCCCATGGCCTGCATATATGATACACTCCAATTCTAGATTTCAGTATTGATTGGTTGGAATCTCAAATTCTAAAATGTTATAGAAAATTAAAGTAAATTATATATATTTATTTATTTCAATTTCTGCTTTGTACACAGCCAAAATACTTATAAGCAATGAGCAGAAAGTGTTCCAAAGTTCTGTCTGCCCCAGTGCATAGCAGGATGTGTCTTGAAATTCACACAAGAGTTCAGGAGACCAGACCCTATTCCTCTCACTATGTAACTATGTGACTTTGGTCAAGACACTTTGCTTCATCAGCTTTATCTTCATCCTTTATAGAATGGGAGAGATGAGCCAATGATCTCCAAGGCCCCTTGAAGGCTAACATTTCATGACACTTGGCTTCATTTTTGACCAGGGTCTTTCTTTATGAGTTTCCAGATTCAGAGCTCTGAGGTTTCTCTTCATCTCCAGTTTTTTTAACCACGAGATTATAATACTTCATGTAACAGTTCTTGGTATTATGTTTAAGAGAGGGCTATGAGGTTGTAATATAGCACCCCACCAAAGCTCTGAGGGGTCAAGGGTGAAATGCAGGGCTCCACAGTGACAATCTAGGGGGAACTGTGAACTAGAATAGCACTTACTCTTATGGACATCACAGAAATGTTTAGGATCAGCAGGCCAAGGTGCTAATCATGTCTTCTCACATTTATTTACTAGTTCAGCTCCTTAAAAATAATTTAAGATTTTTTTGATATTTGCTGAGACATCTCCAGATGCTGAGGATGATACAAAGTAATTCAAGGCATGAGTACTTCAGTTCGAAAGAGAAGACATACATACTTGAGTTAGATAAATAAAGTGTTAGGCCATAGGTGATTAAAGAATGCATATACATAAAAGTTTACCAAGGTCCAATGAACTGGGGCTTAGAACATTGAGGAAAGAATTTTATGGGTAGAATTATGAAGGATATTTTTGACCAAAGGAATAACATGCATAAAAACTTGAATTTAGAATAAACATGGGATGTCCTGGCCAGAGCTGGTTTCTTGAACATATGGCCTACGTTTCACCTGGGCCTCAATTCTAGGGCCCAGTGTTTGGCTTAACCTTGTCCTGTCAGCGTCTTAAATTTTTAAATCATCTTTGAACAAGTGGCCCTGCTTTGCCATTTTGCATTGAAGCCCCACAAAATACATAGTATCCTCCAAGAGGTTAGTTTACTTAAGGAAAGAGTTCCTGTTGTGGTGTGGTAAGAGATGGTATTGGGAAAGGAGGGCCTCAAATGCTGCACTACAGTGTTTGCAATTTAACCTGTATTGTCATTTTTTGATCTGTAGAGTAATACGGTAATGTGGACATTTTAGAACGACTAATCTGATGCTAACATGATGGGGAGAGACAGTGATGGTTTGGAAATTGTCATCACAATCCATGGATAAAGTAAGAAAATTCACTTGGGAATGGGAAGGAAAGGGCAAATTTGGGGGAAGAAGAGGAAAAGAAGAGTTACTATGTCTTGATGATAACAAAAGATGGAAAGAGACGGAAACAGGCAGATACACACACAGAAGAACAAACACATGACAACCTCTTTCATCAGATTTCTGAACAAAAATTAAAATAAAGCCTTATTGCAATGATTATTGGTAACACAATTATTGGAGCTCTCAGGATTCTTTGAGTAATGCTTTCATCAGAGAACTTGGCAATAAGGTGAACACACTAACTTCATCTGCCCATTCATCTCATTCTTTTAGTAGTTACTGATCACACACTATATGTCCATGTATTTGTAAACATGAGAGACCCAGCTGTGAATAAAGTGGCAATCACCTCTGTTGACACAACATTTACAATTTAGGGAGGAACAGGGATATTAAATGGTCACAATGGTGGGAATGTCATGAAAGGGGATCTTTATGTAATTAGGGAACTAGGGAAGGCTTTTCTGGTCTATTCTCCCATGGAACTTAATTGAATAAATGAATGAATAAAACACTTAATTTGCTTCCTTCCAGTTCCACTTAACAACAGTTCGATCTTGAGAGAGTGTTTCTCACTTCTGAAAGACTTGGGAGTAGGGGTGAGGGAATGAGGACAGTAGGTTACTCATAGAGTGAGGAGGAAAAGACAAGAAACAAATATCTTCCTTCTATTCTCCTCAGAAATGGTTACCACTGGGGTCACTAGGAAATCCCCTTCCCTTTTGCTATCCAAGTGAGTTTTGTGCAGGTTGGATTTCCCCACTGGTCACCTCTCTCTTGAGTCCCAGTTCTTGTATTGAAGATAGGTAACTACCCCACCAGACTGAGACACCTCCAGTGTTTTTGTAATACGTATTCCTTTTGCATTTTTATTACTCAACTCTCTATTGTTTATAAAAAAGGATCCCTAGGTTTAATGTTGAAAAGAAGCATTGGTGGTGGCAGAAAGCTACCTATGCAAACAAGGACTGCTTTGAGTTCTACTTTTTTTTTTGGTACCGGGGATCGAACTTGGGTCCTTCTGCTTTTGAGGCAGGTGGCAGAACCACTGAGCTAAATCCCCAGCTTGAGTTCTACTTTTAATTCCTGTTTTAGTAATCAAAGACTCTTCAGGTGTGAACATAGAGTTTGTAAAGGGGACCAAAAAGTGCACACCTGATGTGTCACACAAAGCATCAGCACACTTAAGAACCTGGAACAAGCAAGTCATAGAAAGCAGCTTGGATGGCAATTTACAAGTATCTTGCATCCTCCCCATGCAGTCCCAGGGCAAGATCATAGGTCCGGACCCAACAGAGCATTAGGCTGCTGAAGGCTGTGTCCTTGGAAAGGACCTGTCTGTAATGTAGTCCTTGGCCTTTTCCCTTTTGTTAATCTCACTCTGGATTGAGCTGGATGCACCTTCATGTACAACTCCTGACCTTGACGGGATGGCCTTCAAAGCCAGTGTCAGACACAGATTTTGGGAAAGTTGTTTCCCGATGATGGATGGATGATTTCCAGGAAAATAACAAGTAACTATTGGAAGTTTAGGTCCCTTCCAGAGAGGAAAGCAGATATGATGGGACGCAAACTCTTCCCTTCTCACTCTGTGGGTGGTCCATTCAAAAAGTTCTCTCCTCTGTCTGGTACTAACTGACCTAATAGCCACCTGTGTCACTGTGGAGTCTGCATGTTCAGAGGCATAACCTCAGCTGGTAAGGAGAAGATAGGTGGCTGGTATTAAGCTGGGAGAACATGGAATGACAGCCCAGGACACCTGGGTTGTTCCTGCTCTGAGTCTGGCCATGTTTCCCCACAAGGCTGAGAGCCAGGGATTATTTTTGTGTATAGTGCTAATGCCTGAGTACACTCTGCTCCTTGCCTTTGATTCCAGATACTAATCATTACTTTCCCTGGTCATATTTTGCCTTTCGTGCTGTCATATGGCCAAGCTGTCACACTGACCAAGAATAACAAGGGCCAGCTGGGCATGTTGGTACATGCCTGCCTGTAATCCCCGCACTCCGGGAGGCTGAGGCAGGAGCATTGCAAGTTTGAGCTCAGGCTGGCCAACTTAACAACTTAGTGAGAACCTGTCTCAAAATAAAAACTAAAAATGAGTAGGTGATGTAGCTCAGTGTGAAGGCCCTGGCTTTAATCTCCAGTACCACCAAAAACCTTCTAAAAAAAACCACTGTGACTATGACGGACACCACCATTACCACTGACGACAATGAGGACAACAACAACGATGAAAGAATGACATAGGCCTGACTGTCCACCCACCTATTGCTGGTAGGACTCAAAGAGAAGCTATGGAGGTCATTGATGTAGCTTTCAGTGGTTCTGAGAGACAAAGGGAGGCCTAGTGACCTCACAGACAAGCACGTGTGCAGGAGGAGTCTGAGACCAGGCACACACTGGTCGCCACGCTTAGGGATGTCCCTACTTTCCTTCCTTTAAGGAGATTAGGAGGCATTAATTTGGGCCAGCATCTAGCACTGGGCACTTGGAGGGGCCACATGAGAAGAACACTGAAAGAGATCGGACAGAGAAATATCATGCAGTCCCTTCAATGATCTAGCCTCACACACAAGCTCAACTTGTTTTAAAAAGATGTCTGTTCACACAAACACCGTGACGCTATTCTTTCCCTAAGCACCATGCTCTCAGGTTGTCAAAACATTTGAAGAAGACTAATTCATGCCTCAAAAGGCATGAATTTTCTCTCACTCACAAAGCTGCCAGGTTTGTGAACTTGAGCCTTTTGTGATAAAATGTCTCAAGTCACTAGAGGAAGGAGGACTGAGAACCTCAGCAGAGTTGCCACAGGCTGCCAGGGCATGAAGGGGCAGAATTCACAATTTGCACTTTCTCCAGGAGGATGAAGGCAAGGTCAGAGGGCTCTCACCAGCCTGGGCCCCTCCCTGTAGGTGCAGTTGGGAAGCAAGGTATGGTACTAGTTGAAAGCATGGATGGGGAAACCAAGGATGTGTGATAGGAGTTCAGAGCTCAGCTCTTCTGTTTCCCAGTTAAGGGATTTTCCGCTAACTCCTAACTGCTGGGAACTCCAGTTTCTCTCCCTGTGAACTGGGAGGTTGAGTGTGACAGCCCCTTATAGGATTATTGTGAGGGTTAATTAGCTAATACACGTGATGTGCTGAAAGCAGTGCCCAGTAAAAGGCCAACACTCGGTAACACTTGGGGTGCTCCATTGGTGCTACGGTGAACCTCATCAAATCCTTCTCTATGTTGGGGTGGGGTGTGGGACAGACAGGCAGCAGATCCCATTGTCAGAATTGTCCTACTGGGATAGCTGTTCAGCTGCAGGGTATTTTTTCTTCCATCACAAACAGATCCCAAAGTGCAGAACAGAAACTTGGCAACTGACATAAACAATTTCAAACAATAATTTCAGAAGACAAATTGCTCCATTTGGGCACAAGATTCCTCTCAGAGGCTTTCCCCACTTGTTTATGTATTCTGTGGCATTCAGCCATGAGTGAATTAAGTAGACAGCGCGCGTACGCCCAGGACAGGATGCAGGAAGGGCCTGTGGTTAGGGCGTGAGGTGGGGTGGGGGACCTGCCATCTGACCCGCTTTCTTTGAAAGCTATTGCTGGGGAAAATCCTTGAGCAAAATGAACTCTGATGCCTGTATCTATTTGTTCATTGAGAGATCACAAGATCTAGTGCTGGGAGATCTGAGTTTAAGTCCTGTGCCATCATGTTCTGTGGGTGGACTTGGTCAGTTCATTAACCCTTCTGCCCTCCACTTCCCATCCCTATAAAGGAGGCATCCTTATACACACCTTACAGGGTATTGCAATGGTCAGATTAAGACCCCTTCAGCAGTGATAAAGCACTACACAGCGCATTAGTGGGGTTAATGGAGGTAATCACTGAATAGCTGAGTGAAAATTGGTAATAAAAGGGAAATGGAGTTTGGAACGAAGGTTATCTTTTAGGAGACTGATGAAATTCCCTTCAAAGTAAGAGGACAGGCCTCTTTACACCTGGAAGTGATTCTTGAAGACAAATTTAAGTTATTTTAGAATCTTAACCTATGCTTGTGGTACATTCTATACTAGTGTTTAGAGAATGTGTTGCCTTTTCTGATTATTAAAAAAAATGCATGTTTGTTATAGAAAATATAAAAAACATAAAAGTTTCAAGATAGAAAGTGAAATTAATGGTAATTGAAATTTGCAGGGATAAGTAATATCTGCTGATATTTGCCCATCTTTCTTCTGATTCTCATCCATGTACCTGTATATAAAAAAGGAACTACCACCTTACAATTTCTCAAGAATTGAGATTGTATTATATGCACTACTTTGAAACCTTTGTCTTGCATTGTAAACATCTTTGCATCTCATTATTCTGAAAGTGCCATATTTAACGTACATGTCATATCTTATATTCAATGTATTAAAACATTTGCCTTTTGTTGGATAGTTGGAAAATTTCCCTCCATTTTTCTGTAGCACTATATATCACTGCAAAGAGCATCTTCAAAAATAAATCTTTAACTGCTTCATAATGTATATATATAACATAAATATATGCACATACATACAACTATAGGTATAATAAAACATTAGCATGGAAATTTACATCATATTTAGTATATATTATTCTATATAATGATATTTTAAATCTAGAAAATGATCTTGGCCCTACTGTTAGATACAAGGTATTGAAGCAACAAAATATAACACTTAAGAACATTTTTTTGTCTTTTTCTACCTTGAAGCCAGTGTGGATGGCTGCTGTGTGAGAAGATGGCTTGAGGAAACAGGACCACTTTGTTGAGAGAGAAACTGGGTGAGATGCGAGGTACATATCTGTCTTCCAGCCCTGTCTGTTTCTCCTGGGCTGCCTATTTCTCTCGGGTCCATTTGGTAAACTTAGTTCTGGAAGCCCAGACACTAAAGTTCTAGTTCTAAATCTTCTGGGAGCCTTGGACCAATATCTTCATGTCTCTGAAACTTGATCTCCTTATCCTTGTGACCAGTTTTGTAAACTCACAGAGTTGATAAAAAAAGTAAAAACACATTAACTGATGTGCTTCGTCTTAGTGAAGGAGGAGGAGTACAATACATGGTGTTACAATTTAGCAGACTGCTCCAACAGCTAGCTGTTCCCAAACTTTGTTCTATATGAAGAGAGCTCTTCTCAGCTTTATTTTTAGACAGAATAGTATTTTCAATTATAAGACAACAGATTCTGGGCTCCTAATATTGCCAGACAAACAACCATAAGCCTTTGCTAATCCTCATAGCCAGTGGTGACCTTGCTGGGAGCCAGACAAGGCCAGTACTTTCTTCAGAAGTGTAAAGACCAGATCCAGAATAAAAACCACCCCTCTCTGGATGATAAGAGAAATAACAATGCTTTCTTCAAACCTTTTTGTGAAAGGGAGAAAGTAAGTGATGATCTGTATATAAAAGATGTTATGGAATACAATATAAATTCTGTAATGACAAGAATTATCTTTATTACTCTCACACACACTCTAGAGTAAAAAGAAATAAGAATGACTAAGAAGCAAATCCTGAGATTATCATGAGAAGCCAGTTGTTACTTTAGAATCAAATTTATAATAACATATAAATTATTTGAAAATATTTATAAATTAACATTCCATAGCATGGTCATAGAAACACTCGTATAATGAAACTGAATATACAATTACTATTCATGTAAGAATTAAATAGCTCCCCCTTATTGTGTCAAACACTTTTTGCAAGCTTCTTCTCTAAAACATCTCAAAATTTCCAACAGTGTAGACTATTTTTGTTCCCCTATTTACAAACAGAAACTTAGATGTTCCAGAGCTCAGGACACACATATCTAAGTTCATACAAGCAGTAAAGCTGGAAACAGGATTTCAATCCAAGTCAGCCCACTTCAGGACCTTTGCCAAAACAGATAAATTGAATTTTTCCAGCATACCTTGCTCCCCCTTATCCATGGGAGATATTTTCCAAGACCCCTGGTGGATGCCTGAAACCTCAAATGGCACTGAACTCTGTATACACTGTGTTTTTCCCCTACATACATGTCAATGCTAAAGCTTAATCTATAAATTAGGCAGAATGAGAGATTTGCAAGAATACAATAGTTAAATAAAACAGCCATAACAATATACTATAAAAAGCTATTTAAAACTTATAAATGGCTTATTTCTAGAGTTTTCCATTTAATATTTTCAGGCCATCATTGATCACAGGTAACCACAGAAAGTGAAACCTCTGTCAGGGGCCTACTACAGATTAGGGTTAGGGGTTTTTGTTTCCTGGCTGAGGAGCAAGCTTTCTTGGTTGTAGCATGAACATGCTCTGGGGTTGATGGGAATCTGGGAACAATTTAAAGCTCCCAGGTACTCAGCCAAATCCTCACTCAGCAGCTCCTCAGATATGGTAGGTACCTTCCCCTCTCCCACCTGCACTGCACAGCGAGGTAGAAACAAACAGATAGTACTCTGCCCAACTATTTATTACCAACTCATTCCTGCTTATTATCTGGCAGGAGATGTAGGAGACACTGAGTAAATAATCAAAATCAAAATAAAGAATATAAAACAGGACATAAGAAAAATTATGTTGATATGTTTGTGTATGGTATGTTCTGATTTACACTTGTTGGGTTTAAAATATCTCAACTTGTAAAAAAATTTTCTTATGTTGCTACCTTATAGTCAAGTAATGAACCTAATATATGGACTTTATTGATACTTCTGTGTGTGTGTGTGTGTGTGTGTGTGTACTGTGGGGGTGTATTAAAATTTACAGGTTGTAGTCTAATATCTATGTCAACTAATATTCTGTGTCATTCAGAGGTTGAAAATGTATGAATGTATAATCAGATTAACTTCAGAATTTGTATCCTCTAGATTCACACTTGAATTTGTATCCATATGATTAAAGACTTGCAGAAATGTGCTATTTCTCACTATGTGGTATGAATTTCTCTTTAAAAGAAGCATATTTAAAATTACATAAATACAAATACACTTATCTTCAAAGATTTAAATGCAGAAGAAAAGATAAGGTATTGCCATGTCTATACCCCTGGTTATCATTCTGAAAAGTTGGACATATGTCGTTACCTTTCTTCTGTTTTTCTCTATAGATGTTAAAAAAAAATGAAAATATTTTGCCGATTTTTCATAATCTACTTAAAAATATTAACTATGTATCTTGCAGCTCTTTCCACGCCAGCTCATATAGAACCTTACAATTTCTTATTTGGTATTCTATATATTATTGCATTTCATTGTATGACTGCATCACAATTTAATTAACCATCCCCCTATGGGTGGACGTTTATGTTGTTTCTGCTTTTTAGGTTAGACATTATACATCATGTTGCACTAAAGTGCATGTGTGTACATGTACTTCTTTACATTAAATAGCTTGAAGTATGTTTGTTGATGGCAAAGATCATGGAAAAGTCAATAAAAATGGTCAATTTGTGCCCTAAAACTTTGTTAAATTTGCTCACTAACGTCACAGGTGTGGTCACTTTGCATGCTTGTCCAACAATATTTTACATTTTAGATCATGTGAAATGAAAAACAAATAGTATTTTGTTGTTTCAATTTGCATTTTCTTCAATGTTAATTGAATGTATTTCCTGTGTTTACTATTTCTCCTCCTTCAATTGTCTTCTGTTAGGTTTTTGCTTTTAATCTTATTGTTTGTAGATACTTTAAAAAATAATTTTATCTCACATATACATTCAAGATTTCTCTTTCAGCCTCCTATTTGACTGTTACATTTCTTTTGGTGATTTTTTTCACGTACAGTTTTAAACTTTTTGTTTTGGTACTGGGGATCAAACTCAGGACCTTGTGCTTGACAGGCAGGCACGGTGCCACTGAGTTAAATCCCCAGCCCAGTTTTAAACTTTTTAAGTGACCAATCTATTCATCTTTATTTCTACTCTTGGAGAATGAATGGAAGGCTTGTCTTACTCCAAGATTATACAATTCTTCTCCTTTGTTCTATTTTAATGTATTACAGATCTCTGTGGTCTTTTAATTGATATAAAATTTATTTTAATGTTTATTTAAAATATCTGATAAATAATATTAATGTAATGTTTATTAAAAATATTTATTAAAAATATCTATTTTTCCCAAATAGTCAACTTTCTTAACCAACTTTCTTTACATATTTTATTTTGAATTTAACAGCTGTCATCATCAGAAGTTAAATTTACACATCTCTGTAAGCACACAGTTCTTGTCCAGTGATAATATTTTTCTGTTTACTCAAAATATCAATGATTTAAGTGAGACCATGTCTCACAAAAAAGGATACCAATTACTACATATTTCCTGCATAATTAATGTTGTAGAGTAAATCCCTTTTTGTTGCTTTGGTTTTCAAAAATTTCCTGAGTTTTTCTTCTTAAATAAGCCACAATCTACTAGTCAAATTTTATTAAAAATCTTATAATTTGGGGGTGTGTCATGTACAATTTAAAGCTTAATTAATACTAGAAACAAGTAGCTTGATAAATTACTATTTAGGAAATCAGAGGCATAAAAACAAGTGGGTCTCTCTGTGGAGCTGCAGTCCAGAAAGAGATCTGCTAGTCCTTTGGGCCTGGGGTATGTGCATGTGAGAGGAGACGAGGAAAGACGAGAAAGCTCTAGGGTCTAACAGAGATGACTATCATGGTATAGTGGAGAAAACACATTCATATCTGACCTCGAAGTCATTTGACATCTTTGAGCTTCAGCTGCTTCATCTATAAAATGAGGACAACCATAATCGTATTTTTGTAGGGATTAGATGATGTAACAGAAGAGTCCACTGATGATAGCTTTAAGAACTCTTAGTCCTCTTCTCCATTGTTAAAACATTAGTCATATTTGGTAACATGAAGGCCCCAAAGAGCAGATCACACTGAAATTTCTAAACAAACTATTGTTCGTTTTCTTTCTCATTCTATATTGAAAATATATGAAAGGCTCACAGTCACTACAGGAAAGCATACAAGGTGACTGAGTTAGATCTACTGTAGGGGCAGGCATTCATCGCCTACAGAAAAAAAGATTATTTTCCTTTGCATAAAGGATTTCATAATGTTAGGCATAACAATTTTCATTGTAGTGCTCTCTGTTCTATAAAATTATTTCTGGGTTAATTTTTCAGTACAAGTGGGAAAGGTTTAGTAAATTACCATACACTCACTTAGTGGGATATAATACAGTCTTAAGCTAAGAATTATCTTGCTATGGAGCAACTTGAAAAAATACTTAGGATGTTACTACTGATGAAAAGACTGGGTATAAACTTATGCGTGTATTCTGATTATAATCTTGTATATGTCTTTATGCATCTGTACAAGGATAGTAAGGAAATTCAAATAACAAATTTAAATATTGAGATTATTATTCAATTAATAAATAACATTTTCTAAATTTAAATTTTTTTGAAGACTTAGTGTCTTGTCTGAAGGTTTGAGTATCAAAAAATTCCATGTGGAGCTTTACTTTAGACTGAAAAATCAGCCCTACCAGTCAGGAGGCAGAAATAGTTCGCCAGCTTCCTAAAGGGGGAGTATTTCTGAGAGTAGGAAGGGAGGAATATTTGACTTCATTTGTGAAATGGGAATATTTCCCTGGGCTACGGTTGTATCTTATGAGAAAAAAGCTTTTTTTTGTGCCTTTAATAAAGGGCCTGGGGAATGATGTAGATTGAATAATAGAAAACTTACACGTTAGTCCAAACTGGGGTGTCACAGGAGAGGTGTGGATGAAGTGTGCTAAGTATGAGAGTTTGTGCATCCTCTTATCACTGCTACACATATCAAGTGATAGTCAACTTCCTATCCATGAGAGTACTAATAAATACATTTTACCATATTATAGTGCCTTAATTCACTTTGAATTCTACTGCTTTTCTAGTGATCTAAGGTGGCTGCATACTGAAAACATCAGTCAGAGTGAATGTACTGATCAGGGAAGCACTCCAACAAGGGAACAAGAATTTATCTTCGCTCACTAGTGGGAGAAAAGAAAGATATTATTCTCCCTTCGAAGTTTAAGAAGGCATTTTTGTGGTGCTCTGAAAAAATAAAAGATAAAATCAGCCTTATTTATTGTAAATTTCTGGGAATAAAGGATACATCTTGTTTTAACAAAATTTGGAGGCCTCTTTCTGTTTTATCTAAGACTAATGATACAATCTGATTAAGTAGGCCTTGATTTACTAGCTATGCTGGAAAAAGTAAGCACTACCTGCTTAATAAAATTGAAACTCTAACCACTAAAATCATAAAGTTGCAAAACTATGTGGCTAATGGTTGTTGTTATTGTTGTTAACCCTATTTATGTCCATCAAAACCTTTTAACTGCTCTCCGCTTCTCTCTTGTGCAATTCACATGCCACCAAGTCCAATAATCCATTCCGGCAGGGTGGATAAGAATTCTTTCTGTAAAAGAAACACTTAAACAGGGATGACTGAAAACTATGGTGAATGTTTAAAATTTAAAAGCTTATGACAGTAAAAGAGATATTGTTATTAATCCCTCTCAAAATACTCCCCCTCACACTGTCACTCATCCCAGCATTCTTGCCACTTTCTGAAGTGCTTCTGGAAGTCTTCTTCTTTGAGTGTCTTTAGTTGTACTGTCATGGCTGCCTTGATGTCCTGAATCAATTCAAAATGTTTACTGTTCATGGTCATTTTTTTCTTTGGGGAAGAGCCAGAATTTTCACAGTGCCACAGCCAGTGAATAAAGTAGATGAGGACACATTCTTTTGATGAACTTACCTTTCCATTGGATGGCACTCAGTAGCAATAACAGTTGCCACTGCATTAAAAAAAATCACACCTTGTCAAAACATTCACAAGAGAAAACTTCCAGAAATGCTTTAGAAACTGGCAAGAATGATGTGATAAGTGTGTTTGAAGGGAGGGGGAATGTTTTGAGAAAGATTAAAGGCAATGTGTCTTTTATTGTAATTAATTTTTTGAAATTTAAACATTCACTGTATATTTTGATCACCCCTTCTAATTGCAGGAAGATCTTTCTTTCAAAGAGCCAGTGGCTGCAAAGACCATTAATCACTTCACCAACGTGGAAACAGAGCTCCATGTGCTGGGTGGACTTTCTTGGGACCACAGAGTCAGAGTGAATGTGATAGCCCCCTCCTGTCCTATACCCGAAGACCCACGGCATGGCCTTGGGAGAGCAGATACCTGCAAAGTGCACCTGCTGGCTCCTTACCCATCTGGCCAGAAATGCAAGATACTTGTTTACAATCCAGTAGATGACCAGTGGAGCCTTGTTGGTGTGTTTCCAGATCTCCTACTCAGGTTGGACTTTTCTGAAACATGTAAAATTCTTACACTGTGGCTGAGCACTTTTATTTCTGCTATGTATTTCTGTTTCTCTCTAATCCAATTAGATTAGAATCCATTCAGTTCAGCTCAATTCAACTTGACAAAGATTTACTGACTCTTTCTGTTATGTGCTGTAGTAGATAAAAGATGAATGTCATTCTGATCTTAAAGTATTTAAACTCTTCTTTAAAAGAACTAAGGTGAACAGAACTGGATTAATCACAATCCCTGGCATAATCCCATGGCATACTGTTACACCATCATCATTGGCCCACTAATGACCCCTGTTTAATTAATTTAATAATAAGTATGTACATAACTACTGTCAGACCAAAGAACAGTATCAGTAACGTGCTTCTTACTTTTGGGCTATGCCCCATCTCTTCATGTAGCCTCTCTCACATTTGCTATTGCTCAGAATTTTGTATTTATATTCTCTTATCCTCCTTCACCGTTTTCTAATCTCAACACACACACACGCACACACACACACACACACCTAAAGCAAACATATATTATTTACTTTTACTGATTTTGAATAGCTTTTGAATAATAAAAAGCATATTTTGGCTGTGCTGGGGATGGAACCCAGAGCCCCACGCACACTAGACCAGTGCCTTGCCACTGAGCAACCCCCCAGCCCTTGACACATATATCTCGAGTTCTCTGTCCATGCACTTTCTAGGTCCTGGAGAGTGAAGCGAGCAAACAACAAGCAGGCAAGAGTTTCTTTCAGCCCTCATGAACAAATAACCAATAAACAAAAGGTCTAGCCAGTCAAACAGCGATAAGACCCACGGATAAAACTGGACAGGGAAGGTGGGTGTTGGGGTTCTTGAGGAAGTAATTCAGACACACGGCCTGTGAGTAAATCCAATGTGACCAGACCAGAAGAGGGCAGTGGTCTCAAGGAGGTGAAGTGAGCCAGATGTGGAATCATTCTTGTTTTTTAAAATAAGTTTTAAAGTTAGTATGTCTGCAATACATAGTATATACTGTTCTCATGGTGAACTGGTAACATACATAAACTTTCTTTGACTTTCAAAAGAGATTTAAAATCCTCATTTAGGATTAAAAATATAATTCATCATTCAAACTTCAGTCACCTTTATTCTCATATGGTAATGCTTTTATTAAACTTATAATCTTTAAAACTTTTCAAAAGAAGTTATGGCAATTCACATAAGAAACCATAAAATCTTAGGGTTGGAACCAACTTTAGAGATGAAAATCCTACAGTTTGTAGATGATGAAAATGAGATCTAAAAAGGTTAATTCAATTAGATACACATACATATAAATTAAATATTAAGGAAGTTATTCTTTCAGGTAAAACTATTTGTCTTAAGCTATAAAACTAATTAATAGTGAAAGTAATACCAGGGACTGGACTTTTTTGAGCTCACAATGGAAGTTTCTTCCACAGTGTTCATTATGGTTAAAACTGAGGGATCAACCCGTTGGCCCAACAGCCTCAATTCAATTCATACAAGAGAAAATTCAGCCCCAGAGATTTTAAGCTAAAAGTTGGAATTGTTAGACCTTTTCAGTTGTCTGAAAGATGGAGAATAGAGAAAGGACAGAGAAGGATGACCCCAGGGTCCTGCTGAGATATCCCACACGGTCTTGGGAAGGAAAAGCAATCAATTGCAGACACTGGGGGCCTGATCCAGGGGACAGCATGAGTAGGAGAACACAAGAGTTGATGTGTTCCAGTATCTCATGTTCAGCTGAGTTCCACCACTGTGTGTTGACTGCCTGCTTTAAACCTGCCTCACCTTCTGTTGGCTGCAGCTCTAACTCCCAGAGCTTGTGCTGTCTGAGCACCAGCTGCTTGCTGAGCTTATCTTTCTCTGTGCCACAAAGTCAGAAGCAAATCTTCTGTGTTCTTCCTCCCACGTGCTGTTCTACTCTAGGGGACTCAGGGTTACGTCTCACGGTTCCCTCTCCTTATTCTGAGCCTTTGCTTCCTTGACTAAAATATGAAAATTTTAATCTTAGGGAATGTTCAGAGACTAATCCAGAATCTCAAGAGTTTGAGGGGATATCAGGTAGAGCAACAGAGAATGCTGACCAAAGACCACTCGGATTGTAGGTAGGGTTGCCGAAATGCCATACTGAACACCCAGGGAAACTTCCATTCAGATAAAAGTATGTCCTAAATATCAATAGATACTTTAAAATTATATATTACCTTTTCTAAAATTTAAATTAATCTAGGCATTCTGTATTTTTATTTTCAAAATCTGACAACACTACACTTGTGAGAAGTGAGGGCTAGGAAGCAGTAAGTATAAGAGTATGTCTTTGTTTGGGCTGTTTGAGACAGGCAAGAGAGACAAGAGAAAAAGGGACAAGAAACACATAGTTCTTTAAAAGCAAAATCCATTATTGGATACCTTGCTCTACTTTTGATCCATGCACATGTGTGTGTGTTTGCACACATATGTATATATACTTCTGTTTTAATGGACACAGGACCTGATATTAGGCGAAAATGTTGACAGTGACACTGATTATAGATATTGAATAAATAACAATAAGAAGCCAGGTGTGGTGGCACAGTGCTTCTAATTCTAGCACTCTGGGAAGCTGAGGCAGGAGAACTGCAAGTTTGAGTCCACCCTGGGCATCTTAGTGAGATATTGTCTCAAAAAATTTTTAAAAAATTATAAAAAGAGCTTGGGATGTAGCTCAGTGCAAAGGCCCTGGGTTCAATCCCCAGTTTAGAAAAAAAAAAGGCAAGATTAAAACTGTAAAAATATAATCAGTTTAAAAGCAACACTAATTAATTTAGGTAAACTGCTATGATTTATGTCAATCACAGTTTTGGCATTTTGCTTGTTCCCACATAATCTTTATGTGTCTTCAGAGAATCATAATGAAAGGGTCTAAAAAAATCACCTATTTCATTTGGACATTTACAAATTAAATAACCAAGACCTGGGAGCAGTGAATAGCAGTGTATCCCACTGCCCATTAATATTAACAATAGAATACCAATTAATTACCACAGCTTACTAAGTGCTGGGCATTTGTTTTAAGAGACCTACTTGCATTATCACACCTAATTCTCACAACAACCATATATTCATTCCACTGTTCAGATGAGGCAAGTCAAAGCATAGAGAATTATGCAACTTGTCTATGGTTCAAGGTCATATAGCTAATAAATGGAGGTGACTGGTAAAAACTCAGCTAGTCTGGCTCAAGATCCACATACACCGACCTGACTCCCTGCTGCCTCTCAAATAAGATGAGTTTGTATCACTAAACGTGTTTGTAAATGTAAACTTTCAGAGCTGACCGGTCTTGTTGCATGATTTTGTACTTAATCCCAAGGCCACTCTATTATAATTTATGGAACGTTGGTAGGATGATGCTGCCACTCATGTCAATTTCAGGGTGAGAAGGATTATCCACTTGCTTACGAACCAGCCCCATCACAGGGAGTCTAAGTTGCTATAATCAGAAAGCAATTTAGCTGCATTTAGTTTTGAGATATTTTTATAAGATACGTAATCGAAGCAAAGATTTGCAATGAGGCAGAAACAGTTTAATGAGTTTACAGTTTGAGTGGCTCATGAAAGAAAAGAAGGAGGAGGAGAAGGAAAATGACATGGAGAAATCAAAACAAAGAAGAGCCCCGTTTTGGTTACTGTTAGCTACAAAATAAGCTGAGATCTCTTAGACAGAAGCCTTCTTATTAGC